TACACTAACTAACTTACTTACTAACTACTACTCTCTCTCTCTCTCTCTCTCTCTCTCTCTCTCTCTCTCACACACACACACACACACACACACACACAATTGCACGAACAGAATGGCACTTTCACAATCCGATGTAATTTATCAAGACCAAATATTTCAGCAACAAATGAAACCTCTAATCTAAATCAGAAACTGGGTATAGAGTAATAAATCAAGAAAAAGTACACTTACTATGGATGAAGTCAACAGCTCGACAAATATCAGAAAAAGATGGAGCAAAGAGATAATCTCTTGTGGGGATCACCAGATGGTCTATGTCATGAGCCTGGAGAGCAAGACATTAGGAGAAACACATTAAAACCATAAAGAATCCACTCAGTGGTAACATTCTCAAAAAAAAAAAAAAGAATCCACTCAGTGGTGAAATCTCAATGTTAATTAGATCTTTCGACTTGATTACAGATACAGAAGATCATAAGACTCACTTCAAAAGTATGAAGGCTTCGAAGACTTGGGAACTCTTCAACAAAATTCATAACACAAGATCATCAATGATAGAAATTATAGGGAATTCTTAATATGAAACCAAGACAATTATTGCAGAAGGCATCAAAAAAATCAACCAAGCAAATATCTTGGTTGCATATTATGTCCCAATCATCGCCAATTGAAAGTACTAGAGATGAGCAATAATCACCTTATACAGAGCGGTAGGGACCAAAGTTTCATATGGCTCATTCAGGGTGATGACTCCCTGAACTCCAAGTTGTTTTAGACGTGGAACATCTTTGGGAAATGGAACGGCACCTAACAGAATATACTGACAGATGACATGTTAGTCTTGCATAAAAAGAAATTAGGAACTTAACTCATACAGAAGACAATGCATGACAAAACATATCGGGCATAAATTTTTTTGAAACAAAACTTATCAGGCAGAATTCTATCGACTTTTTCAACATTCGATACTTAATAAGATACATAATAAGAACATGCCCAATTCCTCTGAATTTACAAATAAAAGCATAATATTTGTTCCATCCACAATTTGGAAATCCATGAAACCCCACCCAATTAACTCCTTTGCAGTAGTAAAACAATAACATAAGGAGAACAAGGGTAACGTCATATATCCAGATGTAAACTTGTTCCTGTTGTTAATAGTGAAAACATATAAATGTCATTGTTTGTTTGTAATTTCAATCATTTTGTACTCAGATACTTTAGTTATTACCACTAGCGCATGGTTAATGAGCCACACTGGAATATCCCACAACTTAATGCAATCATATAAACTCAAATCAAACATGAAAACAGAAAATCAAAACCCATTTCATGTTGACCATTTGGAAGCAGAAATAGTTCTTGATTGAACTACATCGAAATTGAAAATTAATAATGAGCCAGCAAACCAACCTCGTCAACCTCATCCCACCATCGAAACTCCGCCTGGATCATATTGCGAAAGACATTGTATAACAATGTTGGGTAAAAAAGAACACGAGCCCCGGCTCCAACTAACACTCTCTTGGCATCTAAACTATTCTCATGACGAATAATAGTATCTTCTACAGACTTTAGACTTCCTATTTCAGTCACAGCCTCTTCCAAATCTTCGATATACATGCCTTTTGCAATAGATTCTCAAATAATTATCTGAATAAAGAAAACTTAAACTAACACCTTACCCCCAAAAAAAAACTAAGATCTACCAAGAAAACAATACACCTATTGCTTGATCTTCTTCTATATCATAATGCGACCAAGATATCTGTATCCTCAATTCTATCCATCATATTGATATTGATCACTTGTTTTTGCATGGTTGAAAATGCAATCAAGTATTAATCAAAACCCATCACAACTATTTGACCAAAAGTCCAATAATCATGGAACTATATCATACATGACTTCTGCACTAGTCTTCATCTCTTATGTTTTCTACGGAACCATGAATCCTTCAGATATTCCTTGGTAGAGCCCAGGCACTTCATCTAGAAACACTTAATTAGAATGTTTAAACAAAGGCCTGTGGATCAATCAACCATAGCCTGTAAAGCTCCTGCAGAAAAAACTAAGTTTAACATATCAGGAAATCAAAAAAGAAAAGCTAGTGCAGAATGAAAATAAAAATAATAATAATAAATCCGAGGCTATACAGCTTCACTCTTTTTGTTTAATGAGACATAACATGGTTTCACGTCAAAGAGGCCATAACCTTAGCTTCTTCATGGAACCAAATTGAAAATTCACAATGAAGTTGCCAAAAAAGAGCTACATATACCATGGTCACTCAGAACCTGATTCTCTCAACTCAAGAAAAATATATAAAATACTGGGCTCAGATGACGACGGCGACAATGACGACAATGATGATGATAATGATGACGATATAAAATATTCCCAACTAGAAAACTCTTCAATCGAGGAATAAATATGAAATAAATAATTGGAAAAAGACACAAGAATTAACAACTCAAAAGTGCTAGGAAACCAGACAATCAGATAGAAAGGCAGTAATCTGGTTAAACAACTACCTATGTGGATATCATGGCTAAAAAAGATAAACTTTTTGAAGCCTCAGAGTTCATTAATTGTTCATGGTTCTCAAGGATTTGATATAATACAGTTTCTCCCCATTATTAACCCTCACAAATCTTCTTTAGTTTTCGAAAATCTTGATTCCTCCTTCTGAACCAAACAATATTCCAAAACCAACCAGAAAAGAATTGAAGTATCAGAAAACACGCCAGAAACATCCAACTGGAAAAAATAAGTTTTCATGGAAAACAAAAGCTAAGTTATTACCTAAAAAATCTACACTTAAGAATCTAAAAAATAGCATTTACTGAAAAAAATCGAAACAGGCCTCAACTTTTAACCACAAAACCATCTTATTAACATAAACTGACAAAGAGGACATACTTCTAAGAGAGAAAAATGAGAAGAGAAACTCAGTGAAAACTATGGTGATCTTTTACCATGAGATGAAATCATACATGGGTTGAACCAGCAGAATAATCCACAACACAAAATCCAGTATTACTCTAAAATTCCCAAAAGTTGGACTCATTTTGTTCAAAATTTCCAAGAATTCCAAAAGTTCTCATAAATATTCCAAACGCATCTAACGCCAAAACTCCACAAGAGGCAAAAAATCATATCACCAATGCATTACATGCGCGCTATATCACCAAAACAGAGAAGCAATAACAATCCCTCAAAAATTTCTCAAACTTTTCAAAGACCTTATCACCATCCAAATGCAAAAATCTCATATTACATAACTGGAAGTCTGGAAATCAATCAAACTTACAATGTAGAATCAGAACAGGAAGACTTAGAACCTCACAATAACAGGGATGATTTTCTGACAAACAAAATTTCAATAAATGCCATTATGATAAAAATTGCAGATATAAGAAAAATCTGCATGATATTTCCCAAATCAAACAATGTCTATGTTACTAAACCTATAATAGAAATTCCAACAATTTTGGTAACGGAAAAATACCTTGGTTCCACCATCAAAATAGAAAAATGCCATAATGGCAACCAGGAAAACCATCTGGTTCTTTTTTTTTTTTAATTGGCCATCTGATCACTAGAAAACAACAATCTCACTGGAAAACCACAGGTTTTGAAAAAGAAAATAAAATGGTAATTTTATAAAATAAAATAAAAAAGAAGAAGTAAATACTAGTACAAGTGAGATATTAGGAAAACGTGGACACTTCCATACCCATTGAACCAGAAGAAAGGATGACTAAAGATTTCAATAGAAGGACGAATGAATATTTCAATAGAATTATAGGAAAAGAAGTATAAATGGATAACGAAACCTCAATGATCCAAGATAGTAACCATGAATTTTCCTAAAAAGTGCAGGAAAAAAAAACATTATTTCCAAAATAACAAAAATGCTCATTCAATTCATGAGATGAAATCCAAATCAATCGAATCAAAGGAGGAAATTCAACCTCCAACAGTTCAAAATTCATGATTCCACCAACGCATGAGATGAATCCAAATCAATCGAATCAGAAGAGGAAATTTACCCTCCAACAGCTCAAAATTCACGATTCCACCAACAAAATCCAATAAGCCCTAACCCAAAATTAATCAATTTACCTTCAGACTACTCATGTTCCTCAATCCACGTAAAACAACACAGATTTTGAGAAAAAATTAAAGTTATTTCTCATAAAACAGGTTACAGATTTGAGAACAACTTCGTTGATACTTCACCATGTGAAATGAAATAAGCATCAAACAAGCCAGAAGAAAAATAAAAGGAATACAATACAAGGAATAACAAAACCTTCGCATCAGCGAATAAAATACACATTCCAAACAATCCTCATTCCCAATCTACAAATCTTAAAATTCCAAAAAGATGACCTGAAAGCAATCATATTGCAAGAAGAATCACATGATATAACCATCAAAAATGAAATATATTCGCTTTAAACAAAGAGATAACAGAAAAATACCATAAAATATAAAAAAGGAAATATTACAGAAGAAGCTGAGAGATTCTCCATTATATCAGTGGAAAAATACGTCACAATAACCAGAATAAAATGGCGTTGATGAATCTGATTTTTAGAGTGAGAAATATAAAGAGATTGATGACCTTTAAAGCGATTCGTTTGGTCCACCATGGCTCAACAAACCCTGAAACCGAAAGGTAAGCTCTCTCTCTCCACAACCACTCCCTGTTCCTCGAACGAAGCAATTGAATATTTAGAAAGAAAAAACTATTTTACCGTCGGTCAATCCGAACAATAATGTTAATGACAAAAGCATCCTTTATACAATTATACTTTTACTATAGGGCAAGCCAATGATTTAAAGAACTAGACTCGTCGAGTTCGACTCGGGAATCTACAAACCCGTGTCGATTTCAGCATGAAATCAAGAACTGCCCGATTTTAGAGCAGAACTGTCGGTTCTCACCTGGTTCTAGAGCAGAACTGCCGATTCCCACCCAGTTCTGTCCGGTTCTAGCGGTTCTTATTCGTTTCTAGCCTCAAAAACACCTCTGTTCGGTTTTCGCGGTTCTTTCTTCAAAAGCACCTTTGTCTGGTTCTAGCGGTTCTTTCCCTGTTCTAGCCTCAAAAGAACCCCTGTTCTAGCCTCAAAAGCACCTTCACACGTGTGTACGCGCCTCAAAAGCATCTTCACACACGTATACACGTCACGAGTGTGACACGCACCAGTGATGTGTTTCAGACGTACTCTCGTCACGATCGTTCAAACCTGTAGAGTCCTCTCTCCCTCTCTCCTCAAAAACACGTTCCCGATTCTAGCCTAGAGTCCTGTCTCCCTCTCTCCTCAAAAACACTTTCCCAGTTCTAGCCTCAAAAACACATCGGTTCTAGCCTCAAAAGCACCTTCACACGTATGTACGAGTCATGTGTGTGACACGCACCAGTGATGTGACACGCACCAGTGATGTGTTTCATACATACTCTCGTCGCGATCGTTCAGACCTGTAGAGTCCTCTCTCCCTCTCTCCTCAAAAACACCTTCACACGTCACACTCCCACACGTGGTTCAAGCCTCAAAAACATATTGTGCGACACACAACTCAAAAACACCTTCACACGTGATACTCCCACACGTAGTTCAGGCCTCAAAAACATCTTCACACGTGTATACGCATCACACCACTCCCACTCAAAAACACCTTCACACGTGACACTCCCACATGTGGTTCAGGCCTCAAAAATATCCCACACGTGGTTCAGGCCTCAAAAATATCTTCACACGCACACCACTCCCACATGTGACACTCCCACACGTGGTTCAGGCCTCAAAAACATCTTCACACGTGTGTACGCGTCACACCACTACTCCCATATGTGCTACACATGCAACACGCACATGCACACGTGCATGTGCACGGATGCCCTAGTGTTTTTACACTTATGTTTATCTTCCAATTACATAGTTATTTATATAACATATTTGAATACTCATCCTTCGATGTGGGATAATTCCCAAACATCATTAAATGAAACCATAATGTAAATATATACTATTAATAGGCAATTTTAAACATATATGTTAAGGAGGCATGATGGTTATCACTAATGTTATTTGCTTTGACTTCTCAAATTCGAATCTCCCCTTAGGCCATATAGTAGTTATCCCTTATTGAGCTAATTTTTGTTCCCCCTTGGGCATATAATAAATTAAAGTGTTATTTTCAAAATTTGTACGCATTTTATTAATTTTTACATTGATAACCAAATCTTTTATTTTATTTATTAATTTTTACATTATAAATCATGCAATGTACTATTTTTCTTATAGTTGTCTTAGATAATATTATAAAATATTTTAAATTTGTTATTATTTGTCTAATAAAATAATTATATAATGTAAACTAATAATTATAATTTCAGTATATAATATTATAATTAGTTAGGTTGTAATAATTTTGGATTATAGTTAGTTAGGCTGTAATAATTTGGGTTTCTTTAGCGGATTAGGGTTTTTCGCCAAAACAAGATTTTAATGGCCAATCTTTCAGTGATTTAGTCTACTCTTTATTGTAGTCCATGTATAATTATATATTTTATCCAAGATAATTCTATGATTTTTCTTTTATGTGAAGCAAATTTAATACTTAAGTTTATACAGGGAAAGAGCATCTCTATATTCACAAATTGATGAAAAAAATGAAATTTAATAATGTAGTACACTCATTTCTTATTGGATTCCTAAAAAACAACATTTATAATGAATTTTAATAAATTTTTTGGATTTTTTTGAAACTTTAATCTGACCGATTCAGCGGATTCCCAATCCGGATAGCCGATTCGCCGATCCGGATCGGTTTTTGAGGTGCCCGATCAGGGTCACCGATCCACTTTTTAAACCATTGGGGCAGGCCATGGGCTGACATCTAGGACGGGCTAGGCCTTGGGCTCACATCTAGGGCGGGCCAGGCCCGGCCTAAAAAAGTAGGGATGGGACCACAAAATGTGGCTTGACGGGCCGGGCCTCAATGAGAATGATGACAGAATCGGCCTTGCTTTTTCTTTGTTTTTGAACTTTCTTTATTATTATTATTATTATTAAGCTCAACCTAGACAAGGCTAGAGCCCATTCGTCATTGTCCAGGCTAAGCAAAGGTAGAGTCCACCCTTTAAGGATACGAGCCGACCAAGATCGCGCTCGTTGTCAGCCCTGCTTTTAAGGTAAAAATTTCAAATTACACATGAGATATTCAATATTTAACAATTTGTCTGTGTATCTTTTACCTTAATTTCACATTGTTAAATTGTTGAAAAAGTATGTGTATTTTTTAAGAGTAATGATCCTATAGGACCCTCCCCCACCCATGTGTGTAGGACCCCAAAGGATCACCATTAAAGTTGGCACACTCCAGAAAAGTTATCACATAGGTGTGGGACTTGACTTTTCTAGAGATCGATACCAACTTTAATGGTGATCTTTTGGGGACCCTACACACATGAGTAGGAGAGGGTCCTATAGGACCATTTCTCGTATTTTAAATAATAAAAACACTTCTCTCTCTATACTAAACAATATATGACAAGTGGGGTGCATAATTGGGCTTTGATTCCCATCCGTGGCCATGTAGGCCCAATACCAGGCCCACAAAGTAAGTATCGAAATGGTTTTTCTGTTCTGATATGCTGAGAAGATACCATTTTTGTTATGGTTTTTTTTATGTTGATATGTCGAGAAGATATCATATTTGTTTGACATTTTAAAAACCTAGACATATTCGCATAATATTTATTTTTAAATTCTCCTTGCTTTAACCAGTGCATATGTATGTAGTGTCTACAAAGCCAATTAGAGTGTTCTAAAAGTTTTAGCACTAAAAATATGAGCATGGGGTTGAACTTAAGTATGGGCACTTAAGCAATTATAAACTTTAATGGCACAGTTGTCACCTTAGAGAAAGGGAAATGAAAATAAATATAAGTAGGGTAGACAATAGGTCGGGTAGCCTTGTTCACTTGGCTCTAAAAAATAAGGCTTGGGCCACAAATATGATCGGATGCCTCATGCATAGCCAACACACCCTGAAGGCCCTGCCAAGCCGGCCCTCTAGTACGGCCACAACTGGGCCAGCCATGTGTTTGTGTGGGGGTCCAGGGCTAGGTCTCAGCCAAAGATCCTTAACTCTAAATGCAATCCCCTATCGGGACACGGGCCAGACTCAAACTAAAGCTAACCTAGCTATATATATATATATATATATAAAAGCTACTACACAATTTTTATAGGCGAAAACGAATAGTATTTTGGGCCATAGGCTCACTGCCGTATGATTTTTTTGAGTGGCGTGGATTAAAAGACTGCAACAGACATAATAAGTCCGTTGTGATAAAAAAACACATGGAAACAGCCACAGATCACGCACTGTCTGTTGCAGCTCTCTTCAATAAACCGCCATGTCAGTGGCAGGGCGAAACACTGTTCAAAATCACCTATAGGTGTTTTTAAGAGTTTTCATATGT